CATTTTTGTCCTTTAAAAATGTTTGTGTATTTGAAAGCACTAACATTTAAGGATGACTTGGATCGTCTCCTTTAAAGGGGAGACAAGTGTGTCCACGGATCTACGTCACTTTACCTGGATGATGACTCCTCTCCCCCTCACTCAGAAACACTCCTAATATAACCAAGCAAATAAATAATAATGAAGATTTACTTACATCATTACAAAAACATCTCCCTTTGATTCTATTTCTCCATTCCTGCTGAACATCAGGCAACAAATATCTCAATAAATCACAGCAAAATGTAAAGCACATGCTTTCTCTGCTTTGTCTAACCTCTGCAGAGCCTCTGTCAAGAAAAACATATCTGTAAGCATAAAACAAATATACATTTCATAACACGTCACTGGACAAACCTCGGTCAGTTGATTTCCTCTGTGCAGTGCAGATGAGCATCAGTCAGTAGGTGACTCTGCTGGTTCTTCTGAGGAAACACCACCATCTCTCCACACCGTCACCATCTGTGAGCACAAACTGCCGCTCTGCTCTGCAAGCATGTAGGAATCACATATCACACACAGGGGTGAAGAAACATCAGAGCTCAACTTTGGATACTTTAGATCTAAACAGATCAAAGCAGCTCTTAGCTTCAACAATCAGTGAGCAGACAAACAATGATACCAAACTGATTCTGTATGAATACAATATGGTATTTTCAATACAGGTGTCAAATTAATTTATTAAAACTAATACAGATATATGTATATATTTTTTGATAAATTAGTTTGATAAATTATAAGAATATATATTTATTTTTTTTCATTTAACAATTGCAACTGAAAGAAATTCAATATTGAACAAAAATATATTGTCACATTCTGAGCATGCTCAGCACGCTGACAGACTTGAAGTTGCTACAGATTTTAAGAAGTGATAATTATGGGGAAGAAACTTCTCTTTTTCATCTGTTTAATCAAACATTTGATGCCTCAGCTGTCTCAGTCCTCTAGCATTCTGCAACTACAACTAACCTGAAGCTTGGATTTGGCTGCAGGTGCCCCTGTACATCCTTCTCAGCAGCACACATGTGGGTACCATTTAATCCCACTTCTTCCTGAGCTTTGCTTCATCACAAGACCAAAGGTGGCATCCCGTGTCACGGTCTTATCATCATCCAGAAGAAATATTTGAAGAAACATCATGGAGAAGAAACATTTACGCGCCTCCTGGTTTTGTTTTCTGATCCTGCAAAAAGACTGAGGACAACAAAGCCCAGAGAACACGAGATACACAACATCCAAAATTCAGACTCAACAGCCTCCATAAATGAAGAGCACCAGGTTGGTTCAGTTATAGTAGATATAAGCATACTTCACATTACTGGGTATGAATAATAATGAGGAGGCAAACTTTGAAGATGCAGAGCATGATGTCCCATCATCAGACTGTAAACAAACATCCACCAGACTCTTTGTTGCCAAAATTGATGATTCTCCTATCAGGGATCAGTAGAGTGTATTAACCTGTGGTATAAGCAGCAGTCACTGAAATATTACTCTTTCAGATAAGAAAGCCAGGGTGGGAGGGATCTCTGCAAACTGACTTACCTCTGCAAGTGTGAAGCTCAACAAAAATCTGACTCTCCAGTCACTGACAAACAAAAACTCCAGCTGGGAGATAGAAAACGCTGTCTGGGTCTTGCTGGATGTTGCTGGTCAGAGTCCCACATTAGCAGAGTGCTTCTTGGTCCCACTGACCCATGTGGACAGTGACTGTGGAGAACTGTTCTGGAAAACAGAGAAGAGAATTAAAATAACAAAAAGCCAAAAAGGATTTCCACAAAGACTCTCTTGGAATCAGCAATCAAAAAATCACTGGTTCATATTTCAATTAAATATGAACAGGTTCCTCAAATGTACGCAGTTCAGATCTGATTTAATTTAATTTCCTTCACACAGCACATTCGTCCAGGCTGACAGGTAAACATAGAATTAATCTCAGGTAACATGACTCATAGTAGAGATTCAGTAAGAAAGATTGCAGGCTCTAATATTATTACCACACAATCCAAGGACACACCAACAGCTCAGATATCTAGAACTATTTAAACAAATGTCTTCTGAATATTCAATTCATGTTCACAGTGGGAGGGGGGGGGGGGGGGGGGGGGGGTCATGGAATTTTTTAAATAAAGTCTGCAACACAGAAAGAGCTGTGATCAAGCTATTTATTACTGCGCACAGGAGAGCAAACACACATCAAACATTACAGTTCAGTCATGTCAGCTCTGCCACAGAAGTTGTGCTCCTACTCCTTTATGCATTCCAAGGAAGAGGGAGGAAGTTACAAACTGATCCTACCACACTTCAACGGATCAATGGTTATGCTGTTTGGTGCCCTTGGCCTTATCAGCACCTGTGAAGGGAGTTGTTTTCTCAAACTGCTGACGCTGAAGTAAGTTCATCTAGTTTTAGAAACTTTCACTGAACAGTCTATAACAGTGTCACAACTAAGCATATGCATAAGCACTTAAATACTTAAAATGAGAATAACAGAACATTTCTATTACAGAGGCTAGAGCCTGTCCCAGTAGTCACAGGTAGAGCACACCTGGACAGGTCACGAGTCTGTCAGAGGACTAACACAGAGACAGACATCAGAGTAACAAATCTATCTAAAATTAATGTAAGTTTGCTGCAGCTGTATGTATGAACATGTGTTTCTGTGCTCACAGTCCACCTCTCAGGAACCTGCAGTTCACTTTTAGTAAACTTTAAACAGACCTCACAAAAGGCTGATGTGGCTGGATCAGTAGTCTGATTTAAGTACGATACCTTTGGCCAGGGATTACTCTGGTACATCGCTTCACTGCAGTCTTACGTAGTTTCCCCACACCTGAATAAAAAAATACTGATATATACAAATAACAGCTTCAGCTGATGCAGCCTGACCCAATCCTAGATGTTCAGCACACAGAGACACAGAGGTACCGTTTAAAGTTTAGTGTTAACCTGAGTCACTGATCATTTGCAGTATTACAGAGTCTGGCAGTCTTTGCATGTCCACGTCACTGTAAGTTTCTAGCTGACTCTCAGGTGTGACAGGTGTGCCAGCAGGAAAGAGTAATAATAACCTGCATCCTGAGGTTTGTCATGCAGGATTAAAGGAGCCAGGCTTTGTTCACACAGCTGGGATTGTATTTTACACTGACCCTGGGTCAGTATAAGTATCATACAGTTTAAACGAAGCACTGAAACTTGCATATATTTATTACAGATGCACTGAAGCTAATCGAGATATTTGCTGTCAACCTGTGGCTGCGATTAAACACTTTACTGGAAATTTTATTAACCAGTAACTTCATCAGTCATGACAGAAGCTAATATTTCTGTGCTAACATTGTTTAAACAGTAACAGCTTTACTCCAATATAAGCTAACATTTACACCGTAACTTTAAGCTAGCACCATAAAGACGGTAAAACACGTAATAATATCTACAAATGCATCTTAAAGCTGTTATATTAGCACTCTGTGTATTACTAACATAACCACATTAACATTACTGACACTCGCTGACTTTTAATAGTCATTCTATAAATGCTGTCCGTTTAAATGGTGTGTTGGTATAACTTTAATGTGGTGATATGCTTTTGTTTGTATGATTTGGCACCCTCTTGTGGCCACAGTTGGTACTTGGGAAGTTGTTATGCCCAGCTAGTTTGCTACAAGTGCTCAGTGGAGGTGAAACTTTTGCCCACGCATGCCTGTAAGTTTTCATTACATACTATAACCTTAACTATCTGATTTGTGATGCATGTGTAATGTGCATATACTGAGTTACTATTTCAGCTGTGTGGTCATTACTCATTTGTAAAGCTACTTGTGTGCTAGCGACTGTATATTAGCATGTGTTTGCTAACTTGCTATGATCAATAATGCTAGTTAACTGAAGGTGATGTTTATGTTTAATTTAGGCAACCTTAAGATTTATGTTTTTTGCTGGTTGTCATGAAAACTAAGTTTCAATTAGTACATTATGTATGTTCAGTGAATGAGAAGGTAATTATCTGTTTTGTGTTTATTTAGTTTTACAAAAAGAAAAGAGAAAGGAGAGTAATGAAAATGGATAAAGGATACCATGTATAAGAAGCCTCAGTAACATGGCCTGTAAACTGGAGATGCAGATCGAAGTAAAGAAGAATCTCAGTTCAAAGCATTCTCTTCTTCTCATTCTGTTCACTGTCTGTCAAACTGGATAAGCTAAATCACGCCCACATCTAGTGAGGACAGAACAAATGGTCTTACCTGTACACACTGCATATCCACCGGATTGCAGCCAGAGTGGATTCTGCCAGGGGCCAGGTAGGGCATTACAAGGGAAAACCATCAAAAACCATCACCTCAGTCTTTTTGTCATTGAACAGATTTATCCAGAGGAGAGATGCATCAGTACAAACGATTTCATCCTTTAAACCTGGACTCTGTGAACGGCTGACTGTACGATGTGCTAAAGAATAGAAAACATTATTTCCCATCAGACCATGAGCAACATTCAGGCATGTAACACAGTTACACTTTTATTTTTTACATATTCAGCAGAGAGAGTTAGCTGTGTGCACTACTAAAAAAGGCTGTTCCAATTCTCAGCATCGCTCCTCTCTTTTCCTGAGTCCTTAGCAATTCTCCCTCTCACGATGACGTTTTCCTGGAGGCTAAGGAAAGAGTTTAGGGAAAGAGAACAGGCGCTAATTTTGAGATAACACCCCACGTGGCTACGTTGTGCAGCTGAGTCACGTGACCACGCAGCAACAAATCACAGCAGAGCCGGAAAAGGAGGCGAAGCAAAGTGTCTGTGCAGGAGAGGAGAGTCGAGCAGAGAGAGCTGCTTTTTCATGAAACGGGATGTAAAATACTAAACTTACAGGAACGTATACCACTACCAACGTTTGGATCGATATCTGCATCGATCTGCACACCCTTGTCTCCTGGATTGTAGCTGAGATCAGCGTGAACCACGTGGGTCTCTGCTCCGTCTCTGTGTTTCTTAAGACTTCCAGCTTCATCACGGAGTTTCTCTCGGCTTTTTGTGGGCTCATCTAAAGGTAAGCACCGAGCTAACTTTAATGTGGGTTCCGTTTATGTTGAGTTTAGCTCTGTTGAGAATAATAGATTGCTTGGGATACACTGGAGTTAGACAGACTGTAGAGTTTGATTGCTTGCGACATTATGAAATGGCGGTTGCTAGGGGGTAAGAATGCATATAGAAAAATAGTCTTGGAATATGAACAAAAGGATGGAGTGCAGGGCAGGAGAACAGCCAACCCCAGGACAGGAAGCCACAGGTACAAGCCTGGAGGAGGGAAATCAGCCTTTACAATAGGACTTCATAGGATGATCTCCAGATGCATCTGTATTTTATTGTCTTCGAGCGAAAATAAAGACTGTTTTTTGAAGTAAAAGTCTCCGCCTGATCGCTACCATCAAAAAGAATCCGTGAAGGCGCCGTACTTCTTCTTCTTCTTCTTCTTCTTCTTCTTCTTCTTCTTCTTCTTCTTCTTCTTTTTTTTAACACTATGTAGTCTTAATGTTTATTACGTATTATACACAAATGCAATAAGCAGCAGGTGCTATAGGCATCTACAAGCAACTGTATATACAATTCTAACATGTGATTAACTATTAGTTACTCACTGTCACCCTTTCTATGCAAAACTAAGCAACTGTAAATAATCAATACTGCCTTAAAAGTGCACATGTGTAATTTATATAATTACATCACCACATCTGATTAGAGTAACATTAAGCAATTTTATATTACACAGAACAACCACAACAGAGCTCTACAATTAATAACATCTAATATCAGCTACTCTGACAATGAGCTGAACATCACTAATCATTACCAGTGCCTTTTTTGAGTGTCTCTGCTTTCCTCTCAATTTCTGTACATTATTTAAAACTCTTAATAAAGTTTATTACTAGTTTATTGCACTTTTTGCAATTTATGTAATTACTACACACTTAATGCATACATATTATTAAAATCTGGGCTATAATGGTTGTATTGATGTATAGGAACTTGAAATGCTCCCAAAAATGGCTCCACAGCATGTAAAAATATAATATAAGCTCTGGCGGACTTGGTTCTATGGTAGGTCCTAAAGGGTTAAGAAACACCAGAGAGACTGAAGCTCATCACATTGATCAAGCAGGACTCGTGATCTTCACCAGCAGCTCCCTCACAGGGAAATTTTCTGCACTCCTCCATAGGCCCACTGTAGGAGATAAACCCAGCATTTCATGAACACTGTGATGGAAACCTTTGGTTTGTGTAATGTTATAAATACTCTGATACTCCCCAGAGGCTCCGGACTTTTACATAAAGATATTATATTTAGTCCTGTGGACAGTTATATATTTAAGTTTTAAAAATATATGATCCTCTCTGGTTACTCTGGTATGAATAACTCTGAATCACTTCATAGTAAATAGCACATCATCTGCAAAAAACTGTGAAAAAATTCCAGATCACAAGTGTAGCCCTGGCTATATAAGTAGCTCATTATTTACATTTGTTCATTAATATTGATAGTTAATTGCAAATGTTTAATGTGTTCAAGAATGTATACAAATGCCTGCAAAGTATGTGATGTGTGTCAGTTAAATGCACAACCTTTTTTTTGGATTTTGAGGTTTATGTCATTATTTTTGATATGGTATTGATATGTACTACAGCTCCAGTGAGACCTGAAGTAGTCTCAGGTAGAGGGGTTGGAGTAAGTGGGGAGCCGTGTGCACTCTGCAGGAAGTGAGAGAGACGAGAGCTGAACAGTGTCGAGTGAACGCAGAGTTCATAGAAGGGCGACAGACGTATTTTCGGGTTGACGGATAGTTAACTGGAGTCGAGAACTGTTGTACCCTACTGTGAGTAGGAGGAGATGGACGTCTTGCTGGCATGTCAGAGAGGTCCCTTCTGCTGGTGTGCTGAAGTTATGTGTTCACGTGGGAGCACGTGGAAAGGACGACTGTGAGTGCTGCTGCCGCGGCCTGCTGGTAGCCGTGACCCAGTTTCACCGCTATCCTCTTGAACTGCCTGGAGGTGTGAGTACTGTTGTCTCACGTGCTTTTTATTTTTACTGCTTGGCAACAAATTCTTTTAGGTCCCAACGCACCTGAGCCACGACTCAGGCCTGCAACAAGGGGTTTGCTAGCAGAAAGACTGTAGCACTTGAGGTGTGTGTGTTTGGTGAGAGTGCGTGTGGGCCCACAATATGATTTGATTATTTTGTTTCTGTTGAGGTAGATACCTTACCATTGTTTAACAAACTTTATTGATTTTGCTTATTTTCTTTTGTGTTGTTAATTAAGCATTCACTAAAGTAGAGTTAACTTTATAATTGACCTGCTTGTGTGTGATTTGTTTCCATATAGTGTAGTTTTATTGCATATTTAATACCATAAGCATTAAAAAGGGAGTATCAATAGGAAAGTAACAACAGGAACCCAGGGCCCCTCTCAATAGAACGTAGGACGGGTGTTACACAAGTTTGTAGTTCAATATACAAGTGACGACCTTTGACCTTCATCAGGTTTTATTTAATTGTGTCAGAGAAACTCAAACGTGCTCTTCATGCAGCTGAGTACATCAAGTGTTTAAAACAGAAGCTGTACAGGTCTGAGATCTGCAGCTCTCTGAAACACCAAACATGTCCTTTTAATGCTGATATATAGTGACACAGCAACATGGGTGATTAATCCTTGTTTTTTTGTCTTTAACTTTATCAATAAAACAGCTGCAGCTTTCACCGACAGCACATGTGGTACTTTAACCTTTGTACTGTTTTCATCATAAAGCTGATTCTTCTGTCCTCACACACTCAGGATCTGAAGTTCTTCTCTTACATTTTCTTTCAGTATTACAGTACACTACAGTACTTTAATCCATAGTTCTGATTAATGAGGAGTTACTGAAGTACAAGCTTTAAAAAAAAATGTTACTGTCTTTACAGATGTGGCAAGAGACTAAAAACATGCTCTAATTTTAAGATATTTAATAATCAGCTCTGCACAGGAGCTGAAGCAGGGTGCAGCCTGTTGCTTTTACAGTAAAATACTTGTAATAAAAGTACAGTAACAGTAATTAGTGACTGAGTAGCCCAGAGCGTTTCTCTTGATTTCTTTAGTCGGTGTAAATTCATTCACCTGCGCAGCTAAACGAATCCTGACAGCCGCGTGCTCATCTTAGCTAGCTAGGTCTCAGGACCTAGCTAAGGGCGGTAGTTACGCATTAGCTGACAAACACATTTAACTTACTGAAAAAGTGCAGCGGGGGCTCGGGTCCTTTTGTCGGGTAGTCCAGTTTATTGAAGAACACCTCAGGATGTCAGGTTAAAACACTCGGTCATGTTTTCGTAGCGTAAACGCTGGCCCTCCTCTCAGAGCCTATGCTCTATCTCCCAAACAGAGATACACAAGTTTCAGCTGCCAGTCAAAGCTGTTATGATAATGTTTCCCCCAATTTAACATCACCGCGGTAGGAATTAGAATCAAACTTATGGGAACGGAGACCCCTTGGACATAAATCGGCGTGATGAGAACTATTGAATACTAAAGAAAGAATCTTTGGAAAAAAATTATCTGAGGAGAATAAATTTATTTAACACTTCCCCCGTCGGACCCCCATCCCACCCGCTAACATGGAGCAGGCGGGGTTTATGATCTATTCTGCAGCCAGACACCAGGGGGCAATAGAGACGTTTTGGCTTCATTTTTGGGGTGCTGTTGCATCGTCCATCTTTTATACAATCATTGGGTAAAACCCAGAAGTGGCCGTGTACAGCCACCATATATCAAACACTTCTGAGCTAAATTTTACAACAGACTGATAGATCTTTCCTCTCTATCTATGGAGTGTACTGTACTGTTTACAATTGTTGGGCAATAGACCCATTTAAACAGTGTAAACCCTGTCAAAGGAATTTACAATTATCTATACTGTGCCCACATCAGTGATTGGGGAAACCAAAACAATCACATTTAACACTGGAAGAACTACCTCATTCTTTAGGTGTTTCAGGCATGTTTGAGGCCTATCAAAAATCCCTCAATGAAATGTGACGAACCCCAAATCTTACCTTTAGGGTGTCAATGTGTCAGAATTCAGTACACATGTCAAAAGAACTCACAACTATTATTGTTTCCTCGGACAATGAGGATCTAATGCACTTATGCATCAGGAACTTACATGCTAGGAAAACAGTCTCACTAACATGCAAAATGTACAGAAGTAATTATTAGTCAATTAACTGTGAAATGCACATGCTATAATTACTCCAGTCACTTTTACTCAGGCTCAGGACTCTAAAAAGAGTTTGATGTTCGGAGAGTCATGTAAATGCATAGGGTAGAGGTTTAATACCTGTACATGAACGGTTAATTCCACAAATCATAGTTAAAAAAAAAGCCATGGAAAAAAATCATCATGAAAAAACTCATGGAAAACATAGAAAGCATTGTTTAATGTTAAACCTGGATAAACCTGGAATCCCTCCTTTTGACACATGGTCTCTCCCATGAGTCAACTCATCAGAACTAGGGTTAGTTAGAAAAGGGTTAGTTAGATCATTCCTCAGGCAATATCAGGGCTTCTCCTCCGGAGTAATTTCGCTCCAGCACTATAAACCCTGTGTTAGAGAATAAAATCAGTATTAATGTCTTGTTAAGTGGGTCTTTCCGGAGCACGCATCCACACCAAAATTACCTAGAAACAAACATCAGTGAGTAAATACAAACTTCACACTTGCAAACAACTGTTGGGTCATAGGAGTAATGAGGCATCCCACACCACAGACACAAGTGTGCCATGTGCAGTTATTTCCCCAAATCATTAAAAACACTCCTGTTGCCATAATTTGCCCAAATTATGGATCATTCCATCTGTTCAATCAAAACTGTCACTCACTTGTTTTCACACTATGAGCTCAACAGTGATATGATAATGAGCCCAACACTAAGATGTTCTGTGTTCACTGCACATCCTGCTTCACCTTCACTCATGTCTGTCTGTGCCGAATCCTCTACAAAGACCCTCAGAGAAAAAAAC